TGTCGATAAAATCAATGTATAAACGTATAACTAATCTTTTTAAGAAATCTCATCACTCTAATTTTGATTTAACTAAAGTCGAGAGTGGCTAAACAGTCACAAATTCGTCTATACAATATTTGCGACTAAGTTGCTACATCTTAGCTACTTTTTTGCTACATATTTTGCGACTCATTTGAGACTGCTTCTAAATTTTGATAATTTTTATGGATTTTGACTAAGTGTTTAGGCGCTAAATATTCCCCCCCCCCCAAATAATAATGTACTTACTCTTTTGGTACCCTATCTATTAACATATTTGAAGTAAATTTTATACTAAAATCTATTTTGGGTTATAATATTTTATTTTGTAATATTTAGATAATCAAACCCTTGCCATTTGAATAAATAACAAAATTTTAAAGTAAACTTTGTAATTAAATCAGAAGCAAATAAAAAAATTGGAAAAAAAAAAATATTTGTTAGATCAAAAAGATTTCCTAAAATCTCTCTAACAATCTCTCTTCATTTCATTTATATAATCTTATTTGTTTCTAATTGATATTATTACACAAAATATATTTATAATTCTATATTTAATCTTTAAACCAACAATTCAGTTATATATATATATATATTAAAAAATAAAGTTCTTATTCAAAATTCCTGAAACAAATTCAAACCCTATATTAGAAATTCTAAAACTTAATTTATACTTATAGACTTCAAAAAATTAATCAAAAACTATAAAACCACAATATACCAAAAACCAAAATAGAGGAGGTTTCTCATTGGCTAGTCTATTATGACAAAGATTGGGCTTTGGTTAATTCTCCACTATTGATAGAATAAATCCAACGGTTGATATCTTCTCCTTCTTTTCATTTTCTTTTTGGTGAAGAAGACTTCTCCTCCTTTGTTCTTCTGACTTCTCCTCCTTCGTTCTTCTTCTCGTCGCATACTCCAATCTTCTCCGCCTCCTCCGACTTCCAACCTGCACATGCCAGAAAGTTCACTGATATGCTAAGGAAGGAACCTCATAGCCTACAAAGAAGAGATGAATCTGGTCGATAAGCCAAGTTGCAGAGTATGGCCCGAGAACACACAATTACTAGCTCCCTCCGATTCGTCTCTTGTTCCTTCTCTCTCGCCTCCAGATGGGCGATTCTGACCTTGATTCATATATCAAAGAGGTTCGTATCTCATATTTGTTCATTTATGGAAACTATAATATGTGAGATTTTCTTTGTTGCTTCTGAAATGTTTGCTCAATTTTTTTGCTTCCAATGAAATTTTGTTAGGATCCAAATATGTGACCACTTGTAGATCGATTTGGGTTAGATTGATTTACTAGTTTTCCAATTGGTCTATGGTGTTCGTGTTAATGAAACGTTTAAAATTGAAGTGTAAGTATAGACCCAATGTTTATTGTTGTCTCTGAAACCTACTGAAGATTAAGTCAGATCATTTATTCGATTACACTGCAACTTAAGGAAATTTGAAGCTAATTAGCTTGTCTATTAACTGCATTTTTCTATAATGAATGTTGCTAGTTGAAAAATAATGTTTTGTTAAATGTTGTAGAGTGAATATCAGGAGAAGAACCCTCTTATAAAAGTGTTAGATAGACACATGGTGGGCTAAATAGGAGAGAAAGCTACCGCAAAAGTTATGGGACAAAAATTATGGTATTGTCATTGAAAAGCATTTTTCTGTGTATTGGTTCTTATCTTTGAATCTAGTAGTTCATTTGACTAACCAAATCTGGTGGCAACAATGAAACAAGTCAATGATATATATGAAGATGATACTTTCCAAGTATCTTATTTTGATATCTTCTTATGCAGTTCTATTCAAAGCATGATAAAAAGATTCATGTGAAAGAAGAGGAAATGACAACCATACAAGCCAAGAAGCTGAGCTTAAGATGTTAAGGAAGAGTTTGAACTTCAAGTCCACCCCGATGTCTACCTTCTATCAAGAATATCACCACCTAAAACTCATTAGGTAATGATTAAAAACTAGGTTGACGTATATATGTGGGTTGTATTTTCCATGGGAAGTTTTTGCTAATTGTTTGTTTAAGTTTTTAGGTTTGTGGTGTATTATTCAATTCTCTTGTAGGCATATGGCAATATTACATGAGAAAGAGGAGGATCTCTCGGCCATGTATAAATCGCACTACCAGGAAATGTCCTAGCCACCGCACCACTAGAAACCTTCCTAGCCTCCACACCACGAGGAACCATATCAGCTACTTCAGCACATTGTCCATCATTTTAAGAACTTTTTACCTTCTCTTATGAATGTTTAATATTTTGTAAGGCTTTGATTTGCAACATTTTGGTTCATCTAATTTTTATATAATTACAACATTTTGTTTTAGCATTCGAAATCACCAAAAAAAAAAACAAATGCGACAGGGTATATATAGTAGCATATTAGCGTCTAATTAATTTACTAAAACTCCTTAAGCGTCACTAAACGGTTGCTAATTTGCGACTACTTAATAGTCCTAAAACCATCTCAAATCTATGACTCAACAATTAGTCCATATCAGTCCCTATTATACAAATGTCAAGTTTGTCACGTAGTAGTTGCTTATTAGTAGGGGTCACAATTTCGTCTTACATATACGACTGTTAATCTCCGTCTTTAAATCGTCGCTTATATACGACCATATATAGCAGTCTCCAAAGAGTCGCAAATATGTGACGTTATAGCGACCATTAAATTTAGCGACCGTTTTTTAGCGACCAACTTTGATAGTCTCGCAATAGTCGCAAATAGCTATTTTGCGACCTTTTAAGGACGCTTTTGGGGGTCACAAAATGCTTGTTTTCTTGTAGTGACTCTAACAGCCTCATCATCATCATCATCATCATCTTCAATCACTTGCTCAGGCTGTTCCGATACCTTTGTGACATCCACAATCAACACACATCTTCGCTTCTCTGTATCAAAGGACGTCAAATACACATCCAAATCCTCATCATCATAAATCGTACACTTTTCCCTCACATTCGATTCTGCCACTAGCGGATAGTAGCTCAACTCCAACTTAACATGGCTCTCAACAAATCCAACCTTCTTGTTTATCCTTCCTTTTAGCATCGACAACGTTATATCACTCGCTTTTGTCTTGATCATAATACTATACATCCGACCTTCACACTTAAAATTTATGCTAACTCTTTCGCTCATTGTATCCTGCCAAAAAAAAAATACAATAAACAAAATCAGTTTTACCAGTTTTACTAATTTTACCAGTTCCAGTACTACTTGGTTTTACCAGTTTTACCATTTATGCGAGTTGTACCAGTACTACCAGTTTTACTAGTTATACTATATTTACCACAGTGCCTAGTTTTACTAGTTCTACTCTAAATCGAATTTCGATTTCGGGTTCTAAACTCTGCAATTCAAGACGAATCTGGGTCTAAAAGTCATTCTAATCAACTAAATAGCTCAATCAACCAAGAACCCATGCTCAAAAATCCAATGTGCTAAGGATTTATATTCTCAACCAAAATCCAATCAAATTTCAAAAATCTAGTTCTATATGAAGCTTATAGTTGAAGAATGTACCTGCATTTTGGAGCTTTGTACAGCTCAAAAGAGAAGAAGAAACGCAGGGCCTCCGACGTCGCCGGAATCGACAGCTCCGGCACCAAAAACGGACCACGACGGAAGAGGAGGCGGAGAAGAGCTCTGAGCTCGGGTTCGGCGTCTCTTTAGTTTTTTTTTGTTTATTTTTTTTCTTAATTAAAGTAAATAAAAGAAAAACAAAAAGAAAATAAGGAGGAGGGGTAGTTTGGGGATGACACATTATCATTAATGAAGGAGGGGTAGAGAGATTAAAAAGGGAGATAGTGGAATAAAAATTAGAAAAAAGGGCATGGGAGATGATTTCTCTTCGGACTCGCACGTACGCGCGGAATTATTTCCCAAAACTAAGTTTGTTATCAAATTTATAATATACTATTTATGTGTAGGATCATGTTTCTAAACATAATTTTTAGAAATATTATTAACATTCATAATTCAAAGTAGGATCAGTTTAGTATTCTTTTTTCTTTTAATTTGGTTTAAATTAAAAAAATTAGTGGATTTGTTTTTCTTATTAGTAAAGACAACTACATATAAAAAAGTAAGAGAAATATAGTTTGTTTATTTCATAATAGAAAATCCATCACGTGCTGTCCGATATCTGTCATGTTTTTCCATTTCATAATCGTGGTTTTAAAAATAACTTACTCATTCGTGATTGTATCTTTAGAAAGAGAAATAGGTAAAAGATTTCGAGTCGCACTGGTGGAGTTTTATTGGTACGTATATTTATTTGTTGTAGCAATTATAAGATAAAATTGTAACGCCCATGGGCCCACCTCTCTTAATGGACCTCACGTTCTCTCACTAGGTACATGAGCTTATTAATATCCGACGGCGGGTTTGTTACGTCTGGATGGCTTAAATACTTGTTTACCGACCCCACAAATCACCATATGATCTTTCCATGTGTTTTGACCTCACTCACACAGTTCTGACAACCACTTCCCAGAAGGTCACCCATCCTTTGACTACTACAGCATAAGCACGCTTAATTGTAGAGTTCTCTCACGACCCTTGACCGAAAAGATAAGTGATGTTTGAATCAAGGCGAGGAAGAGGGCGATGGTCTAGAGTCGCTGTTTGGGTTTTAATGTTTTGTTATTTTATTTATGGAACCACGAATTAGAATTTAGAAGCATGTTTAGGAATGCTAGTTTTATTTGGTTTATGGAGATTAGTTGGTTGATTTCTTGTTTAGTATTCTAATTGGATATATTGCAGTTGGTTTAATTGGGTTATGCTGTCCGATTGCATGTTTGGTTTAATTTATCGGTTAATATTAATTTATGGGGTTAATATTGATGAATTAAAAAGTAGAAAAACGGGATGGGTTGTTTCAAAAATGATAATGAATTAATTAATTTTATCAAGTTTGTGAATATTTGAAATAATAATCGATTCATCATAAATTTCAGATCGACATGATAGCTGATCCGGATTGAGTGTAAATTGGATTAATGATCAGCTAAATTTCTATTAAACTTGTGAACTATCAAATTAAATAAAAAAATGAAAGAACATTAAAACTTCATGAACCGGACTTCTAAATATCACTACAAGAGAACTGAGTATTGATATCACAAAAAGATAGTGTTTTGGTAAGATATGCTATCTTTAACTAAACCACTAAAAATATATAGCGTTTATCAAAATGAAATGCTATGGTTGCATACACGGGTGTTTTTTCGTTTTCGCGTCTGTGTTTAGATATCATTAACATTAGAAATGCTATGGTATGGTGTCTCGGGATTCCATTATATTTTGTCCCCGCTTTTGAAGAAAACCTAAAAATAACAAAGGGGGAAAATCAAAGGTCATCTTTTTCTCTTTTGAGCTCAATACAATTCTCACGAAGTCTTTGAATCCTTTTGAGCTCAAAATCCTAATTACCCACTTGAAACCTTAGTTTCTATCTCGAATCACTTTCCTTTATCAGCCAAAAACCTTAATTCGTGTTGAATCTCAATTCCGCAGTTGAATCGTCGCTCACTCTCATCACTTTAATAGTTGCAGAGGTATGTAAACTTAAGTCGATTTCCATTTGAATATGTGTTTTTGAGCCAATGTTTCTATCAATTTGCAATCGATTTCCTTTTGAATCTATGTTAGCCACTGTTTCAAATTTGCAATCGAGTTAGAAGTTTGTTTTTTGGGTTGAAACTGTCGATGCTTCCAATTTTTTTGCAAAGAGCTTTGGGTTTGCAGTCAACAAAGGAAAACACAAATTTATTCGGTGAGTCATTCACTAATTTCTTCTCCTACTCTATGTGTTGAATGGTATAGTGTTTTGAGTGTCCGTTTTTACATTATGTCTCTCACTGATCTACTTGCATATTCTTACTTTATATGTATATATACTTGGTCGTGGAGATTTGGTGTTGTATAAACATGGACAAGTCTTGGGTCTAGCATCCAAGGTATGGATTTGTTTGTTATCTTCATTGGTTTGATAATTACATTTTTTTTATAAATTATTAGACTGAAAGATATTACATCACGGGGCTAGTATAGAGTATCAGAGAGGGGTATCTAATTTTGTTAAAGCATCGTCAGTGAGATTGGGTAATCCTACTGAGATGTTATGTCCGTGCATTGATTGCCACAATGTATGCCTCGAAGAAGTAGAGGGATGGGTAGAGGTGTGACTGCGACAAAGTTAGCTTTCATGCAGTGTAGAGATGAACATGTGCAGAAGCTTGAAGCTAAAAAGGCAGAATTGATCAACAAGATTGAGGATCTACAAATTCAAGTTCGTGGCTTAACTAATGGGAAGCAGAATGAAGATGTTCCTTCTCCCAAGCAAGTAGAGCAAGCAAACTAGTTTGTAAGTGCTAGATTGGTGTTCAGTGGATGATGTTGTAGTAGGGGAAGGATAAATCTTCATTGTTAACAGAAGATAAATCTTCTCTATCGTTTCTTTCATGCTTGATTTGAAGCAAACAATCAGAAGGAGCGACCCAAAAGAGATAGAATCGATTAACTTTATTTTCGAACCGTTTTTGTCTTATTTGTTCACGGTTAGAACAGGAACGACCCGAATTGTTAGAGAACCCAAAACCGTTTTGTTGATGATTTACTAAAGGTACAAATTTCGGTCTTCCCCGACTCTTACTCTCTATTTTTGGGATTACATACTATACGCAATAAATTTACTCTCTAATATATTTACTTTTTGTTTAATTCAGGATTCAAAATATTTACAAATTCCCTTGGCCTCTGAAAGTTGAATATTTCTCGCTAATCTCCCAGAGGTAATTGACATGAATTCCTGATTTTTAGTTCAACTTTATAATCTACTATGCTCTCTCTCGAAACATCCACTAAAACCAAATTCAGTGTTGCTTTACGTTTTGATTCAGAATGGAAGCAAGGAAAGGCATAGTATGTGGACTCCCGGCAAAAGGAATCATACCAAAGATCCATCAACAGCCACCAGAAGAAGCACATGATGATCAAGGAAGTGATGGGGTGGAGCTCACACTAGTAGAATACCAAAGAAATATGGGATACTTCATACGGGTTGAGGAAGACGAAGAAGACATCAAACCTGTTCCGAAGACTTGTCCAAAACCTCATAAACGAAGAAAAAAGGCTTAGACACCAAATAATCTCTGCTGCAATGAAACGACCAAACAATAACAAGGAGACTCCTCAAGAGGCAAGTCGCATCGTCGAAACTAAGAGGCAGAAGCTGAAGGTGTTAGTTCATCTACATATAATTACCAACTTTTTTATATTCCAACTTGTTATCACTACAAGAATATTGGCTTTTCTTAGCATCTGAATAACGCTATCTAACGATAGTATAGCGTTTTTACAAGCACTATTTATGCGCCCTTCATCATAGCTCAGACACTTTAGATAGCGGTTTTTCCCTACGCTATTGTATATAATAGTGCTTATTTGTCTGCATTAAATAGTTTATAATAGCGTGTTTCTTTTGTCATTACTGAACTTTTTAACAACGTTTTCAATTTTTTATTTAAAATATATCTGTAGCATTTATAAAAATGTAATTATCTGAACGTGTTATATATATTATATATATATATATATATATATATATATATATTTTTTAATTTTATATTTATATTTAATCGATTGCTCATATAAAAATACTTCATTATCACCAAAACATAAACACAAGTTCTACATAACAAACACTAAGATCAGAAATTCAAAGTACTATATCAACCTCAAATGTTTCACTACGTACTCTTGTGTCAGATAAATAAATATAATCTTGTCATTAGGCCAAGCCACTGTGGTTCCTACTGCATCAGCTATGAATTCAACTTCAGAATTTTGTCTCCACACTCGTGCAGTGTTAACCTTGGAAACCTCTACCCAGACCTTGCTAGCAATGGGACCTAAAGGGATGAAATGAACATTTTCTGTTAGATCAGTTGAAGACCCACGACTTCCTCTGTTTATTTTATTATATTTTTGGTGTCTTTTAGTGTGTTTGGCAACTGGTTTGCAATTTCATGAAACTTAATCTTTTTTTAAGTTTGTTTGGCAACAAATAATAGTGCTCCCCTTTTAATAGTATACTAGGTTTGGACCCGCGCTACAGCGCGGGGGAAACAATTACTTATATATAATGTTTAACGGACTTTTTAAAATAATTTGTTTAACTTTTACCAAAAAAAAAAATTTAACGGATTAAATTATATTACATTTTAATTTTATTATAGTGCAGTCGATTACAGTGAATCATATATTTGTATATAAGTTTAAATAAAATAATAAAAGAAAAAGCGAGTAAATAATAATATATTGAGTTTTGATACAATTAAAAAAAAAGGTGAAAATTTAACAGCACGAAAGAATATTTATCGATAAACTGTTCAATTTGACCATTTTTGTAATAGAAGTAGGAATAGACGTAAAAATTACACACTTATAATATATTTTTTGAAGAACCAACCCGTACCAGAATTCATATCGTAATAAACATTATTCATAACTCACTTTACCATTATAATTGTGATTTTAACAAACTACCCGTGGACTATCTAAAATTTACGTAGTTTGATATATAATATTTTATCAATAAAAATCATGTCTCCAAATTTACATCTATGTCTCAAAACAAATATTTTAAATATGCTTATGTAACAATGGTTTTAATATTGGTCATACTTATAATGATTTTAAATCATTGTCCAAAATATTTAACCGAGTGTAATTGAGTATTATATGTTCGTTTTAAAAATTTTAAATTGCAGCATATGCAAAAAAAAAAAAAAAATTTGAAACATTTTTATTATTTAGTATAATATCAGAATTTTTTTAAAAAAGATCAAATAAAAGAAGAAGAATAATAATTGTTTTTAATATATTATATTAAATTAGTTAGATAAATATTAGGAAATCGTAAAATTAGTTATGGAAATAATATAATCCTAAAATTAAATATGGAAAGTATCCGATGTATGTATCCAAACCTATTTTAATATCCAATTTTGAAGTATCCAGTTGTTAAAATCGGGTTAATTTTTTACTCTTGACCCGACCCGCATTCTATTTTGTACTTCTCTTTTACTAATATAGAGATATTTATTTTCTTTTTATTTTCCTAATATATCATTTTTCTTTCTCCTAAACATATGATTATTTATTATATTAGTTTTATTAAATATAAATTATTATTTTTGAAATATCATAAAATATATAATTCAAATTAAATATTGAATTATATATTTTATGATATTTCAAAAATAATAATTTATATTTAATAAAACTACTATAATAAATAATCATATGTTTAAAATAAAGAGAAATTCCCTAATCTAGCATCATTTAAGTTCTTCTTACACTTATACCACACACTCCATAATTTGACACAAATACCATTAGTTTTAAAGTAAAAAGACTAAAAACACCCTTCTTTATATCCCACAAAACTCAAACATTTTGCCTTTGTGTCACACCATCGGCGACGAGATCGCTGTTGAACGCCGGTGAGTTTCCTATTAGTGTCCGCCGGCAAGTTTGTGTTTCACGATCTTCTTCAGGCTTCCATCGTCGCTGTAAGGTTCCTCTGTTCGTCGTTGTCTTCACTAGTTTTGTAATATTAAGCTTCGATTAGGTGGTGTCATCAATTCAGCTTCGATTCTCGATTTGATTAGGTGTTGCTTTGGATTTGATTATGTGTTGTTCTAGATTCGATTAGGTGCTGAATCGTGTAATTAGTGTGTTTATCTGCTGATTTAGGTGTTTATTTGAAGAATCTTTTGTTTGGATTTGAGCTTCGATTCGTTTATGTGACCACGAAGTTAGGTAATTTGATTCCAAGTAAGCAAGTTAGGTGATTAGTTTGTAGAGATTGTTTTTGCTTTTGGATTTGATTAGGTTGGATTTGGGAATCGATTAGATGGTTTTCAAGATTTGAATCAATCGTTGTTTGTGTTTGTGGATTTCAGAACTAATTGATCAAGCTGGATTTTGTGAAACCTAGGTGGTGCTTTTGGTCAAACTCGTGGATATGTTAAAATTGTATTCAGTTTGTGGTGAGTGGCAAAAAAGGTGAATGGGGGATGGCATTTTGTTTTGGATTCGCAAAAGGGAGGTTCCCTTAGTGAAGTCGATGAGAATGTGACGTTTAAAACTTTGGCTGAGATGGTAATAGAAGATTTCGGACTAGATTGCGTGATGACAGAGCTAAAACTTAGCTATACACTCTCTCCAAGTTTGAAAATGAAAAATCCTCCACCTTTGTATTTGCGAAATGATCGTCAAGTTCAAACTTTTATCAGGAAGGTTTAAGAAGACTTTGAATTTAACCGTTTGTGTGTTACGGTAAGTAAATTCTATCAATCTTTCTTAAATGCAAAGTAAAATCACCATTTGTACATATGTGTCTTCCTTGACTTTCTTTTATGTTTGTAGGTGTGTCAGCCTATTGAGAATGTTGAGAGCAACATTCAGAATATTTTTTCAGAGAGCAACCAATGTAAAGACAGTTTGCTACTTTCGAAAGGTGTTGCATCTTCTTCCTCCGGTTTTTCACAAATAAAGGTAGGTTATCTCTTAGTCAAAAATTCATGAGCTTCATTAGTGTTTAAAGTGTTTTATTCTAGGATATAGTTCGTTTTTGTATGTCTTAGAATGAATTAAATAAGACGGAATTTGTATGTTTTAGGTAGTATCATGTTAGTTAGGAAGTCATTCCCAGTTTTATTTATGGAGAATAATATGTGTTTCTATCAAATATCATTCTCGCAATCTTGCTATTCCCAATTTTGTTCAAGAGTAACCTATGCTTGCTAATATAGGTTACTAATTTTGTTTACAATGTAGAACCAAAACAGTTTCACGACAACATTCTTAGAACTTTAAATGTTTGCCAATATGTGCTTATTTTGTAGGCTAATCAGAAATCTAGTGATACTGGTATTTCAAAGGTTCAATGTCGAATCATATGTGTCTTCCTTGACTTTCTTTTATGTTTGTAGGTGTGTCAGCCTATTGAGAATGTTGAAAGCAACATTCAGAATAATTATTCAGAGACCAACCAATGTAAAGACAGTTTGCTACTTTTGAAAGGTGTTGCATCTTCTTCCTCCGGTTTTTCACAACTAAAGGTAGGTTATCTCTTAGTCAAAACATGATTCTTGAGCTTCATTACTGTTTAAAGTGTTTTATTCTAGGATATAGTTCGTTTTTGTATGTCTTAGAATGAATTAAATAAGACGGAATTTGTATGTTTTAGGTAGTATCATGTTAGTTAGGAAGTCATTCCCAGTTTTATTTATGGAGAATGATATGTGTTTCTATCAAATACTGGTCTGTATTTGTTGCTTTTTTTTTTTTGTCTTGTTGGTCTGCTTGCTAGTATAGGTTACTGATTTTGTTTACAATGTAGAACCAAAACAGTTTCACGGCAACATTCTTAGAACTTTAAATGTTTGCCAATATGTGCTTATTTTGTAGGCTAATCAGAAGTCTAGTGATACTGGCATCTCAACTTCAGTATTACGAAGTGATACTTTGTCAACTGCTGAACAAAGATTTCCTGATTGTATTCCAATAGGCTATACTCATCACACTCAAGTGACTGATCATATATTTGTGGGAAAGCATTTCGTTAACAAAGAGGCTTTAGTGATGAGGATGAGAAAGTGGGCGATTGAGTGGAATTTTGAATATAGGACATTATGGTCAGATAGAACTAGATTGATTTTGGGGTGTTTAGATGTCACTTGCAGTTGGAGACTTCGTGCAGCGAAGCTGAAATCCTCTGATTTTTTTTGTGGTAAAGCACTATATTCATGAGCATAACTGTGATACAACATGTAGGCATGCAAATCACCGTCAAACTACTGCAAATTTGTTGGGTTCTTTCCTTTGCAGTCACTATGGTGAGAAGAAGGCTGGACTGAAGCCAAAACAGATTTTAGAAAGGGTTAGAATGTCATACAGTGTTCACATAAACTACAAAAAGGCTTGGAGAGTAAAAGAGGCAGCTGAACTTTTGGTTAGAGGTACTCCTGAAGATAGTTATCACAACATTGGAAAGTGGTTGTTTATGACCAAGGAAAAAAACCCCGGATCAGTTTTGTATCTTGGCGTTGATCCTTTGAGTAATAAATTCAGGTACGTGTTTGTAGCGTATGGCCAGTCACTCAGAGGTTTTGCTTTGATGCGTAGAGTGATTGCTGTTGATGGCACCTTCCTGAAGGCAAAATTCAAGGGAACTTTGCTTGTAGCTACAGCTCAAGATGGGGATTGTCATCTATATCCGTTAGCTTTTGCTATTGTCGATTCTGAAAATGACAAATCTTGGAGTTGGTTTTTCAGGTGTCTTCAAACTATTATTCATGATTCAGCTGATTTCGTGTTTGTCTCTGATCGCGCTCCATCAATTGCGAATGCACTTTTAGAATTATATCCGGCTGCTCACCACGGTATATGTAGATTTCATCTTGGAAACAACATCAAAGTGAAGTTTAGAGGACAATCCTATCTGCCACTTGTTGAATCTACAGCCAATGCGTATACCTAGGTAGAATTTGCTAAACATTTCAAAGACATACAAGTTGCTAATCCGCATTTGGCTAAATATTTGGAAGAAGCAGATTTCACAAAATGGGCTCGATCTTATGCTCCTTCAAATCGCTACAATATAATGACTACTAACATTGCTGAATCTTTCAATTCGTTGTTGAGTGAACCACGGGAGCTGCCAGTTCTTTCGCTTCTAGAGACTATAAGGTTAACGCTGACTGAATGGTTTCTCCAGAGACGTGCACTTGCTGCTAAGCACAATAAGAGAGTCACTCCTAAAGTAGTGCAGACGTTGGTTTCTAGGTTCTCACCTGCGATGAAGCTTGACGTTTTCCAAGTGGATGTAGACGAATTTGAAGTTAAAGATAATGTGAACAAGTTTATAGTTGACTTAAGGAAACGACAGTGTAGTTGTTGTGTCTTTGACATTGACAAAATACCGTGCATCCATGCGATTGCTGCAGCAAAGCGGTCTGGTCAGGATGAGAATGAGTTTGTTGATGATAGTCATTTGAATGATACTTGGTTCAAAGCTTATTCCGAGAGCGTACACCCAAATGGAGATGTAAATGATTAGACTTTTCCTGAACTGATTACCAACTTATTATGTGCACCTCCAGGGAGTAAGCCTTGTAGTGGTAGACCGCCAAAAAAACGAATTCGTTCTAAGGGAGAGTATGGCGTTCCGGGCTCAAAATCACAAAGTCACAAATGCAGTAGATGTGGACAAGGAGGACACAACAAAAGCACATGCAGGAATGCAATCTGATTATTTTTGGTAAGGTACTGTGTATACTTTCATTTCTCTTTAAAGCTTCATGTTCTAGTAATCTTATCATAGTGTAGAAGATTGATGTGTTTTTGTTGTTTTTTCAGATTTTTGTGGCTGAAACAACAAGAAGATTGTGTATCTCCCTTTTTTATGTTTTTAGCCTCAGTTTTATACTCAAGAAGTTGTCATTTCGATTAGGATTTCATTGTTTTCATTGATTCTGACCTTTTATGAAGGCAATCCTAAATGAACTAAGATTCTTCCTAAATAAATTTAATATGTCCTGAAATTATAATTTTTTAGTTTTTACATCCTCTTTTGATTTTTTTTTTGTTGGGTTGCTTCAATGTTCTTTCAAATTTAATTCACTTATGACAGGTATTGATTTCAAACTAAGACCACATAGTTAGTTTAATTGTTGTACCTAACATGAATGATAAACTTGGCTTAATGGTTACGCACCGTTACACGATGTGTAGCGGGTCTGGGTTCGAATATTTGCATCCGCCAAAAGTGATAAAAATTATTTTTCCGGTGAAGAGGTTAATATGTTTGTATATATATATATATATATATTTTTGTACTATAAAAATGAATGAGACGCTTGGCTAATTGGTTACAGACTCTGTCATAAGGAGTTGGGGGTAGGGTGTTCAAATCCTTATGTTGTCTATTTTTACATTATTTTTTAACTTTTAATCAAGGGCTACCTAAATGAATACAAATCTTCCTAAACATCATTGATTTTAAATTTTAGTCTTCCTAAAACATCATTTTTTGTTTTAAAACATCATTGTATTCTTTCTAAAACATCAAAATCCTTCCTAAACTTCATTATATTCTTCCTAAATATATTAAAACTTTATTGAATTCCTTCTCTTCAATCAATTTTTCATAAAATTTTATTCTTAGTTGATTCAACCTTCCTAAAGTTCATTACATTTCTCCTAAATAAATTTAAACCTTCCTAAATTCTAATTACACTTGTAAATTATGATTACACTTGTACATAAAAACCTTCTTACATTCCTAAAACCTTGTTATCATTTCATAAATGATTTATTATTTAAAATTTCAATTTTGAATCCCATATCTTCAGTGAATCCTAACCAATCATCATGATTAAAAATTTCCTAAATTTCATTCATGGTTTCCTAAATGAATTATAAGTCTTCCTGAATAACGTTTTTAGTTTCCTAAATTACTAAATTGTGTATATATTACATGTATTGTTATGATATAATTGAATGAAGAGATTAGCTCACTGGTATCACACTCTTTGACCATGACTGAGTATATGCGGGTTTGAATCCTCAAAGTAGGGTACTTCTTTAAACATTTTTCTAATTATTTTTGTTCATAAAGACCATTCATCCATTTATCAACAAAAAATACTAAAAACATACGATACTTAACAAACAATTCAGTTATCTTAATGTAAATTGCTATACACATACTAATCTTATACTAAGACCAAATATTCATTCCCTAAACATATCAACATCCTTCACAATAATCTCCTTGTAGATATCATATGCAATCCTGGCTCTTGTATCTTCACTAAACGCTTCGTCAAGCTTGTTCATCATGTCTTCAACTCCTATTGCATGACATTCGATCATCTTCAATAAGAATATGGCACAGTTGCCATCATGTTTGATGCGACAAGTAAATCTTTTCGGGGTTGAGACTTTAAAAGAGCTGAGATTAACAGGCTTTGGCCCTTTGCCCCAAGCTAACAAATACGGAATCATTTCTGCAAACAAAACAGCAACATTCATTGATTAGCACAAACACATCAAACTCAGACATCATAGATCAAACGAGATCAAACTAGTCATTTAACAAGACCAAACAAGACCTAACTCTAACATCACAGATCAAACGAGATCAAACTAGTCATTTAACAAGACCAAACAAGGCCTAACTCTAACATCACAAATCAAACAAGAATAAACTAGTCATTTCACTAGATCACAGATCAAACTCTTACATGACAGATCAAACTCTAGCATCACAGATCAAACTATAACATCACAGATCAAACTCTAGTCTAGAACTTTCATACCTGCATATGGGAAGACGTGGCTCTTAATCATATCAGCTTTGTAATTGTCGCTTCTACAATCAAACACCGTTATTTTCCTTTCACTGAAGCTCACTTTGATGCCAATATGCTGGTTGATTTCTTTGCAATATGCAATCCCATATGCATTATCCACTTCATGCCATGCCGCCTGTAGGCTGGAAATCGAAGGCGATTTTCCGTTGATGGTATCCAACAGTCTCTTTGGGAATTTATAATGTGTCTTCAGGTTGTCCTTCTTGAAACTATGATAGCACTCTATCAAGACTCTAAGGAAACCAGTGTTGACAAAGATAGACTTCGGCAGCCTCTTGTTGTGGAAGTACACCGGGTCTCGCTCCCTTTTGAACCAAATTGTCAACATTGCTGCGTCAATATGCTGCATTTGTCAAATCCAAACCATATTAGTCAGTATATAGTACATGATAATCGTTATACACTTCTTTGAATAGATATGGTACTTCGTTATACTAATTAAAGAGACTATTGCAGTTCAAATCAAATACGTTTACATGAAAACAATCAAAACAAATTCATACTGTTATCCGGACAAAGCAAACATAGAATGCTATTCATTATCTAGTTATGTCAGGATGCTATTTATTGTAACTCATATTAGCAAATACAGTTTCAAGAAAGTTCTTAGTAGACATAAGCAAAAGTATCTTAACAGATACATAATTTGAGCAAAAGAATCTTAACAGATACAAAATTTGACTAAACTCAGGCTGCTATTCACAAAAACTCTAGCATTTTCATTACTTATCAATTCAAACTCTAGCATTGTCTATAACAAATCAAACTTTAGTATTCTCAGGCACCAAAACTCTAGAATTCTTACTACTTATCAATTCAAACTCTAGCATTGTCTATAATTAGCACGAGTCAAACTATAGAAACTGATTAATCAAACTATAATTAGCACGAGTCAAACTAGCACTAATCAATCAAACTGATCATATATTTGTTCTAATCGGTTATACTCATCACAACGCTTAACATACCGTTTCTTGAAGATGCGCCTCTGGTTTTTCCACAATGCTTAACCAATGTGGCGTTAGTGGTTCTCTGTCAGTGATCTTCCTGAATTGATCAAAGCAAATACAATGCTTAATCAACTGAATTTTCATTTGAACTAGTTAATGATTAGCAAACATGTAATAAGTGATTATACTAACCCGGTTTGTATGTTTGCATTCCTCCAAATAGTCATTTCTTCGTCGTTTTTTAATGTTGGAGAAAGAAAGGGGTTCATACTCGGATTTAGTGTTGTTGTTGCTGGATTACGTGTTGCTCTGTATGGCGATATTATCGGCATTGATGGTGTTGTTAGTCGCTGGCTCCGCCTTATAATCATCTTCTCTACATCTACTTTGTGTTTCTTTTTCAACTTGTTGTCCTTGCGTTTCTGAACCCATTTCCTCTTTTTCTCCTGAAAACATTATGTTGAAACCATTATGTATTATGGATCACAATCAAAATATACCTTACAATCAAAAGATTACAATCAAAAAGAATCTCTAAGTTTCATAAATATACCTCAGCTGAACTGAAACAACCAAGATCAAAAGATGGTTCTAAAGAACCATCTTCTTCATTTTGATTGCCTTCTTGTTCTTCTTCACCATCTTTATCAGCTGGATCCATATTCTTAGTAAGCTCGTCTGTCTCCTCAACAATTTGGGTTATTACCTACATTTCATCCAAACTTTTTAGTATAAAATCATACTCAAAACAAACTTAAACTCAAAAACTCTAGTATTCTCATTACTTATCAAATCAAACTCTTGCATTGTCATATCTTACACAGAGAAACAACTTCCTAAAGACTGGCCACGACTCTAATTTAAACACAAATCATGAAGAGCATCCTAAACATTCTTGAAGGAAAAATACAAGTGAAAAGCTTACCTCATCAACTTGATCCATCTTCTGAGTAATCTCCACTGTCTCCTCAACAATGCGGGTTATTACCTACATTTTATACAAACTTTTTAGTATAAAATCATTAATAGGATGCTAAACATTCCTGAAAATTTTTTTAAAATACAGCAATGCTTACCTCATCAACTTGATCCATCTTTTGAGTGATCTCCTCTGTTTTCTCATTTGCTTCATCTGTATTCATCTTCAAAATATTGCACATATTATTTTATAAGTCGTGAATGTACATATGTTTAAATCTTCTGAAATGTTTAAGAAGAGCATCTTTTATCTACCTCATTTGATTGATCCAGCTTCTCTGTTATCACCTCTGTTTTTGTTTGAGTATTTGCTTCAGTTGGAGTATAGAACTGTAGATCAAATGTGAATTTACTTTATCATTCAAATCAAATCTCAGCAGTTATGATTTTAAGAAACCTTTATGAAATTTAGATCAAACCTCGGCAGTTGAATTTTCAGGTTGTGTTTCCTCATTAGGATTCTTATTTGCTGGAGTAGGAGGTTTAGATGTTGAGTCTTGATGTGGAATCTGCGTGAATGTCAAAACAAAACTATTATGAACAACAATACAAAACACAAGTATACTCATTATGAACAACAAGACAATACATAATTCACCTTCTCTTTGTTGTAAAACCTTATGTTTTTTTTTATCAAATATATGCTCCTTCTCTGAGTCATACATATACACTTGTACAGATTCTTGAAAGATTGTCCTCACAATCCCCTTTCTCCACTTCTTCTCGTACATAACTTCAACTTCTTCCAGAAGTTGAACTGTTTGTGACAACGACTGTGTTGGAGATGGGAAGCAATAGCTATCTTCTGGATCAAACTGTTAACACAATCAAAGCAATAATTGTCTTCTGCATCAGTCTGATAACAATACTCATGATTATTTGTATGTTAGATGAGAATGTTTTTACCTCTTGATTTTCATTCTGGTTGTTGCTTTGATCCTCATCTTCATTTTGTGTGTTGCCTTCCCCAGTATCATTCTCTGTTCTCTTCTCTTGAACATTCTCTGTGTCACACTGCAATTACAAGTTTCATGAATGTTTAGTACAAGATTAAGAACAGTTTCACTAGCAAATATAGTAAATATTACTAAGGATCAGTTGTCTTCACCTGCTTATCATTCTCTGTCATCAACGGACTTGTTGCAGGCATGGGATCATACTCATTCTCTGTCTCATACTGCTTATTATTCTCTGTGTCACACTGCAATTACAATTTTCATGAATGTTTAGTACTAAATTAAAAACGGTTTCACTGGTAAATAAAGTAAAAACAATTATGAATAAATTGGTTTCACCTGATTATCATTCTCTGTCATTACTGGATATGTTACATGCATGGGGTCATACTCATCATGAGTAGTGTTATCTGGAGGGATCTTTGGCGTTCATGCTACAACACCAAATGAACATCTGTTAATAATCTCATCTAATAAAGTTTTTGTAATGTTGAATTAGATTTCGATTTTTTAACCTGATCATATGTATTTGCGGCCTTGGGAATGTTTAGATGTTCCTCTATCTTTGATAAGCGAGTGTTTGTTGTTCTGAATCCCTCTTGCACAATCTTGTATAAGTTGTCTAACTTATCCATGATTGACTCACCAGATGAAGACGGTTTTAGGGTCTCTTTGTTTCGTAACTGATACGACATGATGGCTATTTCTTCCATCACTGCACCAACATCCAAGCAGCCTTTAGTGCAGTCGTCAACTGTCAGCTTGTAGCCCTTGTTAATAACTTCCATTAAAAATCTCAAGTCTTGATCGCTAGTGTCCTCTAAAGCTACATAATCTTCTTCATCACCAGGTATTGAAGGTAATATGCTAATAAAATTGAAATCTATGTTAGTAACAATTCTCAAATATCTACACATTGAAATTTATGAAGGAAGGCTTAGATATTAACTTACATGTTTCAATGCTTCAATGTTCTCCACTTGAGCAATTGATGGACTGGCAGTGCTTGTGTATTTCTCACACAAAAACGCTTGTGGACTCTCTATGAAACCGAGTGTGCTGAATGAAGATTGTAGCAGAGGCACTGATTCTAGAATCCAAAGATGCAATGCTAGAGGATAACCATGGAGATCGTATTTATTCTTTAATAGATTGGATGGCACATTCTTCTTGATTGAAGAAAGCAACAATTTGTATGCATCTCTCCCCCAAGGATGATTCATTATGACTTCTATGTCTTGAGCTTTCTTGAGCTTCTTGGCAGGGAACTTGTTTCCTTTGTATCGCTGGAAGAATATGCCTTCTATAAGAATCAGCATAGCAAGACAAAATCTTTCATCCAAGTCCTCTCGATTAGTTTTTCTCATAATCTCGACCACGTCTTCACACGTGTGTGCCTGGTTTGTGGAAGCCCAATCAAAAGTCTTCTTCTCTGCATCTTCATTCTGCTCCCATTCTGAGCATTTCAAGCCTATGACCATATGAAATTCTCTAATAGAGAATCTCATTGGCTGCCCCCCAAAGTGTACCCATATTTCATTAGTCTTTGAAACTTTCAAACTTCTGCTCAGGAAATAGTGCACCATCTTTCCCGACATTATTAACCCTCTTCCAATTATCTTCAAGACTGGTCCCAAGAATGTGCTTTTGATCCTTTGAAACTCTTGGCGTGATAATATGCTCTTCACTTCTTTAACCAATTCATAGCTTGGGAATTGGTTGATCTTGACATCTGACCTCGGCTCATCTCCTATTTTGAAGCAAAGCTCAGGGAGCTTGATGTCTGTAGGGAAAGAATCTCCCATGTCCTGCAACAAAAAAGACAGATATGTTCTTTAGGAAAGTCATCATAAAGTATAGAAGACCTTACAGATTGGCCTAGGAAAATTTTAATTAAAGAGACTATTGCAGTTCAAATCAAACACATTTACATGAAAACACTCAAAACAAATTCATACTATTATTCACAAAACAAACTGTAACATCACAGATCAAACAATCACAAATTTATGTAAGTATGAGCTGTCAATTCTCAGTCTAAACTAGCACAAAGCAAACTCTAGCATTGTCTATAACAAATCAAACTTTAGTATTCTCAGGCTGCTATTCACCAAAATTCTAGCATTCTCATTACTTATCAATTCAAACACTAGCATTGTCTATCACAAATCAAACTCTAGCATTCTCATTATTTTACTGCACAAAATGTACATGAAAACGACCATAAATTATAGCATCAAAGCTAAACTGAAATTGTCACAAAACCATACTCAAAACGAACTCAAACTCAAAAACTCTAGTATTCTCATTACTTATCAAATCAAACTCTAGCATTGTCATATCTTACACATAGAAACAACTTCGTAAAGACTGGCCACGACTCTACTTTAAACAATTCAAAGCTATTTGAAACAATTCAAAGATAAATCAACATGACTTGTTTTGATTCTTCACTCATGCTACCATCCATAAAAACGAACAAGCTTTAAAACACAAATCAGTTCACACTCTCATCAAAACTAATCCAATAAATCATTGACACATTCATAGAGACATTCATAGAGACACATTCAAAAATCTATCGGGCTGACATTCTTACAAACAAAACTTTAGCATTTTTACCACAAAACTCTAGCATTTCTACTATGATGCTATTCACAAAAACATAACCATAGCCTTAGATCTATAATGTAACAAACAACATATAGTGAACAAGCACCAAAACTCAGAATAGAGGTTTACCATGTGTTCAGTCAACTTATATCACAAACTCGATCTAACACTAAACTTAATTAGATTTAACACGAATCTATTAAACTTGATTGTATCCAACACTTAAATCAATTGCAAATATACCACAAAACTATTAGCAAAAATCAAACTATAAAAAGAAGACTTAGGAAGAAGAAGATTCAGGAATACGAGGCGAAGTCTCGGCTAGGAAGCGAAGTCTCGGCGAGTAAGCGAATTCTCGGCGAGTAGGTGAATTCTCGGTGAGGCGGTGAAGAAGATTGAATCGTCTGATTCAAGAAGGCTTCGGGCGGTGACGACGGCTTCGGCAACGGCAACGGCGACAACAATGGCGACGGCGCCGACGACGGCGAGGAAGAGGATACGTTCGTCGGCGATCAAGAGGAAGAAGAGTTGATTTTAGGTTTTCAGATTTTTTGTCGATGGGTGATAAAAATCAGAGGGGTAGTTTGGTCAATATTGTTTAATGAAATATGGTATGGTTGGAATTTTTTGGGCCTGATGGTATTTGTGGCCCAAAAACATGAAATCATGGTGTTTTTGAGAATCTCCCTAAAATAAATGAGATGTTTTTATTCCAACAAAAGAAACGAGGTATTAAACGTCCAAATAAAAACTAGATGGCGGTTTTTTCGGCTTTTTGCCCTCCATAAATATAGATAATGTTTTTTTGTTTTTTATTTTATTATATTTTTGCTGTCTTTTAGTGTGTTTGGCAACTGGTTTGCAATTTCATGAAACTTAATATTTTTTAAGTTTGTTTGGCAACAAATAATAGTGCTCCCCTTTTAATCTATTATAACATTTTTGAAGTACAATTTTGTGGCCACCCTTAGTTTTATTTTTTTTTCCATCTAATAACCTTAATATAACGTTAATTAACAAAGCTCATTAAGGTTAATCATGTAATCTAACAAACCGGGTCGGTTTTTGTTTTTAACTTGTAACCCGATTTCATTTGCTGGATAGTTTACTTAATTGAAATCGAAAAATTGAAATGTAAATTTTAAAATTGTCCTACATAAAAGGAAAATTGTTAACATTTATTTATATATGAGAACTTAATGTACGTTTTATAAATAAAGGAAGGTATGAATTTCATATTTGCAAGATCTTCAATCGGATTTCCACAAAACTAAATAACAATTGTATTTTTTAGCCATACATCCAGTTTTTGTAGGATTTTTCTAATTAAGGAAAACAAATATGAAGATTTAATGCTAACATAACACCATTAATAAAAAAAGATGATTACATTTTCGAGTTTTAATCGGACAAATAAAAAAAGTGAATTTCTTCTCATTAAAAAATATTAATATTCCCAATAAATAATTGATTACGATTTTAACTAATTAATCTATACTAATCAACATTTGGTAAGATTTCCCTAGATTACGATTAAAAATATGGCTATCTAATGCTAAATATAAAAAATATTTTGAACTCATATGTATTCAATAATATTGTGATAAATCGGATCGAGAATATATACAAGTTAAAAGACAAATTAAATTTAATGGTATATTTCTTATTTCAATACTAAATTGTTTTCATTTAGTTCATAATTGTTAGATTTTTCAAGAATCTTGCTTACTCACAAGCTTTTATCCGATTCGCTATCAAATCTAATCCTATCATAAATATATAACCTCCTAATTAGTAGAACACAAAAAATGCACCAACGTTATATCTTTGGACTACCAAATAAACTTTGGCATTTCCCTTACGTGAGATTTTGCTAAGCTTCTTTATTTCTTTATTCTCAGAATAACCAAGGGAATGATTGAAAACAACCTATTCTTTAACTGTAAGTTTGTTTTATCATTGTCACTTCCCTTTTAAAATTGTATATGGTTTTCACATGTCCAAACACTTCAAACTTATTTCGATTTTTGTTATAGCTGAAAGAAATCATCAATATACCAGAAGGGTTTGCTAGACATGATCAAACTCTGCTTATGGAAATCATACCGCAAAAGGTATGTTTACAATGATAATAATTAAGTTACCAAACAATTATATATTCAAACTGTGTGATGTTAATCGTTATATTCTTTTATGCTAGGTAAACGATGTTTTGGTTCTACTTCATATAGTACTAAACAACAACCATCACACTGTTTCATAAGTATATAACTTTAGAACAAGAATTTACAGATGCGTTATTCTCTGTATCTTTAGAAGTTGAGAGTGAATTATTTGGGATATTTTTTTCTTCAACAATAGACAAAAAGCAAAGGCCCATCAAAAAGAAAAAATATAATCCCACGAGAAGGATATTAGCCTAAAGGATACTTAATTCAGATTGTTTACTTAAACTGTTTAATTATATTGGATAGAATAAATTTTAAACTTCTATTATTTTTTAAGTATTATAATTGATTCGGTAAATTTTTTAAATTTAAAATAAAAATAAAAAATACTTTTACTAATATAATGTTTAAACTATCATATTTAAATTTTAAAAAAAATACTTTTACTAATATAAAGTTTAAACTATCATATAATGGGGTTATATGGTAGGACATATTATTATTTTTAATTTAATATATTACTATGTTTTATCCTCTGATAGGACAATTTTTTTACTTATATATATATATATATATATATATATATATATTTTTTTTTTTTTTTTGATTTTATATTATGTTATTAATTTTTTATTTTCTTCAAATATACTTTTCTCATCTTCAAAACATAAGTTTTTGTTTTTTTCCACTAAATCTATATTAATGAAAGTTCTTAAAAATTAGGTTAGCCCTTAAGAATAAATTTTTAAATTTTAAACATCAAAGTAAAATACCAATATATATATATATATATATATATACTTGAGTAATTACACAATTACACTAATTGGTATAGAAAAATGTTATATATCAAAATAAAATGTAAAAACAATTGTCCTGTGGTGTTACATAAAAATTAACTTATTATAAATGTAAAATATCACCAGACGGGGTTATATGGTGGGACGGGTTCAAACCGACATTCATATTAATTCAATGGTATTAAAAGTTAAAGAATCTCCATCAATATAAAATATCAAATCATAAAAATTATATATATATATATATATATATAAAACATAAAATAATAAATTGTCTCGTGGTGTACCACGGAGTAAATTTTCATATATAAATATAAAATCGGAAATATCTATACCGCAAATGATACATTGTTTTTGTTGGACCTCAAATAATAAGCTTAACCAACTCTAATAAGAACAGATTAAATTTTAACCGATTGGAATTTATATAAGAAATACACGTTAAATGATGGACCCGTGGTCTACCACGGGGTAAAATCTAATAGTATAGATATATGGGAATATTATTGTAATGCCACAACGAAACTGTTATGTGAGAAATAATTGAAGGCTACCGAACATAAATTTTGGTTGTTCGGTTGTGATATATGATCGACATAATATTTTTTAATTTGTTTCGGTTAATTGAGATATTCGTTAGTTCACTTTGGTTCTCAGCTAACAGAATATTAAATTTTTTAAAAATAACTTGAATATATCAGATGTCGACTGGTTTTAGAAAACATAAACTAACTAGGTGTTGACCAGATATATACAGTGAGGAAAACAGAAGAGGTGAAGTGCAACACAAGGAACCTGAAGCAGTACAGGGGAAGTAGAAACAACCAAAGAGAACACGTGACATGCACGATATAAGGTAAGAATTCAATGCACTCGTATTACGATATAAAGAGCTTATGCGGTCTTTGGGTTTACCTTATCACAAAATTTATGTTTGTGAAGGTAATTGTATGATATATTGGAAAGATACTGAACTTGAAGAGAGTTGTCGATTTTGTAAGATAGATTTCATCCAACTAAAAACCCCAAGCAGAAAAACTTGCATATCGTCACATGTTTTAATTGCCCATATTTAATAGATTGAAGAAGTTATATCAACCTATTAATACTGCAAAAGATATGATGTGGCACGTAGAACACTCAGTGAATAGCGGAGAAATGTGTCATCCATCTGATGGAGAAGCATGGAAACAATTTAACCATGTATTCCCTAATTTTTTATCTAAGTCAAAAGAAATGTTTATCTCGGGTTATGCACAGATGGTTTTAATCCATTTGGTATGTCAGGACATAATTATTCATTGTGGCATGTAAACATAAACTAACTAGGTGTTGACCTGATATACAGTGAGGAAACAGAAGAGGCGAAGTGCAACACAAAGAACCTGAAGTAGTATAAAAGAGGTAGAAACAACCAAAGACAACACGTGACATGCACGATCTATCTGCCACAATACAAGGAAGTGGATTTGGTGGATGGACAACCATGCATAGCCAAGCAGTGGCGTGTGTCAGGAAGGAAGCAAACTTTAGGAGTCTAGCAATGTAAAAGGAGCTTATGTTGGTCTGCTAGATAAAAGGAGGATTCAGGACAAGGAAAAAGGCTATAAAAGAAGAAGAATAAGCATTTCATTTTAGGGTTAGCGCTTTTAAAGGTTTAGAAAAGTGTTATATGTTTGTAAGAAAATATTAAGTTCTTGAGAGTTACATTGTTGAGTGAAAAAAGAGTGCGTACAGTTGTTGTTGTACTTTAAGTTGGGTAGTTCTAGGATATGGCGAAGTACAAATAACTGGTGGTGAGTATGTAGTTATTTGGTTCAAACATCTTGTATCTAAGATTGTTTGAGAAGTAACTAATCTATTATTGTTTAGTGTTTCTTGTTATTACTTCGTTACTGTCCACGGGTTCTAAAATAACAATTGGTATTCCAGTTAAAAGTCGATCTAAGGTGTAATAATCTCGAACAGGTTAGGTCTTGGAATGGAACCAAATACAAATGGTGTTGGCTCAAGATATGGCTACTGGAAAGTTCGAACGACATAAATCATCAGGGGACAAGGTGAAGATGCATGGACTGCTGTTGAAGAGGGATGGGAACCTTCATACGAGGTGACTGTAGAAGGAGCAAAGACATCTAAACCTAAAGCAAGATGGACAACATATGAGAAAAAGCTGTCCAAATTCAATGCTAGAGCCATGAACGCCATCTTCAGTGGAGTTGATGAAGATGAATTTAAGCTCATTCAAGGTTGCAAGTCAGCTAAACAAGCATCAAATGTTCTCCAACAATCGCATGAAGGAACCTCGAGTGTAGAACGAACGAGTTTAGACAACTGAGCAACTTAGTTTGAGTATCTCAAGATGGAATCTGATGAGTCTTTAGTTAAGTTTAGCTCAAAGATTAGTTCTATAGCTAATAAAGCAGAGGTCTTAAGAAAAACTTATAAGGATCAGAAACTGGTAAAGAAGCTACTTAAATGTCTTCCAGCTAAGTATGGAGCTCATAAAGCTGTCATGAGGGTTGCCGGTA